TCGGGCTTCCTGGGTGGCCCACGTCGCCACCGCTGCATTCGCCTCGAAACCCCGGTCAGGACGCACCCTGGGAGAGGTCCGGGGAGCAAGCGATCGCCACCGCTCCGCCCGTCCCATCCGCCCCCCGGTCTAAGATTAAGTCGGGCACGTCCCCCTACAGGGGGATTTCGGGTGACAAATTGAGAATATAGAGAAAATGCGCCAGAATAGCCAACACATCCTCAAACAATAATCCCCCGATTATTTTTTGACAATTTATGAATAATCTTCCTGTGGAGGGACATGCCCGACTTGACCCTAAAATTGTCCACCCACATGGCGCCCCCAGGCCTGCCCTTCTCATTCCGCTCTCAAGCGATCGCCATCGCCCCGCCCTGATCCTCATCCTGCTCAATGTCCCTTCAAGCTGCCGCCGTCGCTTCGCCGTCGTCCACGCGCTCGCCCAGCGTCGCCCCATGCGATCGCCGTCGCTGCCCCCTCAACCATCACCCCCTGTCGCCATCCGCCCTGCCATTCGCCCCCGTCCTCGGCGGCGCCGTCGACGCGTGCTCGCGGCCGCGCACGTTCTGCGACTTCGCAGCGCACAGGTTGGGCCGCGGAGATTGCCCTGTCGCTGCTGCTGCCGAAGTCGCTGAACTCGAATGCAATCGACTGGATCCTCCTAATCCTCCTTCCCCAAGCGATCGCCATCGCGACCCCGCTCTCCCCATCCCCCTTCTGAAAGTTCTCCATCCGTTATACAGTCCCCCTCCTCCTTCTCCTCCGCCTCCGTCTTCTGCATCAAGTTACCTATCCTGTTCCTCTTCCTCCTTGTCCTCCTCCTCCTCCATATCCTCCATATCCTCTTCCTCCTCCCCCTCCTCCCCCTCCTCCTACTCCTCCTCTTTCCCCTCCCCCTTCTCCTCCTCATCCTCATCCTCCTCCTAGCGATCGCCATCGCTACCTCCCCCATCCCTTCCTCCTCGCCAAAGGAAACGGAACGAGGAGGAAAGGAACAAAAGAGCTTACAGTCCAATTGTACATTATTTATACGGGTGATTCTCCAGGCTCACGCCACATCCGCCGACCCCTTGATTCGTACCGGCGGCTATCGCCGCGTTTCCGCCTTCATTGCTCGTAGCTGTCAGGCGTTACAGTGCAGTGGCAAGTGCCAGAAGAAAAGATTGAGAGGCCCTCCTGGGACGCATCTTGGAGGCCTCTTGGGGCCTCTTGGGGCCGTCTTGGGCCGTCTGGAGGCGATCGTCGGTGTCTTTGATCGCTCTTCGACCGTCTGTGACCATATTGAGCTCTCTTGGAGGCCACTTGAAGCGCTCCTGGAGCGCTCTTGGGGCCGTCTTCGGGGCCCTCTTGGGCAATCTTGGGCGCCTCTTGGGCTGTCTTGGGGCTCTCTTGGGCTGCCTTGGAGCTTCCCTGGAGGCTTCTTGGACCGTCTTGGGGCGGTATTTAGGGCCTCTTGGGCCGTCTGGGAGCGTCGGAAAGCCCAAAAAGCGAATTCGTGAAAAATGTATGTTTTACGAAGGGAATGGGCCAATTTTTGCGTCTAGGGACCCTCGTGGGACGCATCTTGGAGGCCTCTTGGGGACCTCTTGGGCCGTCTTGGAGGCCTCTGAGCCCGTCTTTGAGCCATCTTGGGCGTCTTGGAGCGCTCGTTTGGCGTCTCGGGGCTCCCGTGGGCCGTCTTGAAGGCCTCTTGGGGCCATCTTGGCCCGTCTTGAGGCTTCCTGGGGCCCGGAAAAGCCCCGGCGGCGCTCGTCCCGGGCCCGGGGCGCTCGTCCCGGGCCCGGGGGGGGCTCGTCCCGGGCCCGAGGCGCTCGTCCCGGGCCCGGGGGGGGGGGGTCAAATCGCCGGTTTGGGGTCCCGGGGGGGGGACTATAGGGGGGGGAACTATCTCACACGCCTAGAGACCCACAAGGGGTCGGCGGATAAGTAATGGTGCGGGACCTCGGACCAGTGACTTACCAATGCTTATATTTCACCTACCCCGCTCGGCTAGGTAAGGAAGCGACTTATCATAACCACAACTAGATTTATACCGCAGGAGCACAATAACACACAATCCTTGAACAACAGTACGGATATTTAGGACGCGAAAGACAGCTACTCCTGGCTGTAAGCAGCTGGGACCCAGCTGTGCCTCGAGCGCAAGTCGCACAAGAGGCTCCGACCTCTGAGTGGTAAGCCGCGGCGCCTTCTGACAGGGCCTCCTCCTCACTTCCTCCCCTCGCTCGCCGCCGACGGGCGACCGTCCCAGGGCCCACAGGACCCCCTCCCAGCCAGACGTCCGACGCTGCCACTGCTTCCCTGCGAGGCCCCGGAGGCCCCGAGGAACACTTCCCCTCCCCCCAGGGCAGCTCTCCGCCCTGGCTCCGTTTCCGATGGCCCCCGCCCGGGCCCGAGGGCGGCCCCCCGAGGCCAGAAGCCGCGGCAGGCTCGTGCGGCGTCGGCGCGCGCACGTTTTAGGCACCGCGCCGATCGCTCTGGAATCGATGGCGGTTCCCCCATCGTTCGGGGCTGAATTCTGCTGGGTCCTGTGGCGTTGCCGTGCCCCTCGGTGCTTCCGCGTCGTTCTGCCGTGCGGAATTCAGCCTTGAACGCCTTCGCCAGCGTCGCCAGCGCGCCATCGCCGCACGAACCTACCCGTAGGAGCACCGCCGCGACCGAACACCTCTAGGAGGACGAGTTGAGGCAACGGCAGCTCAAGAGCAGTCCCCAGACCAGTCCCGGGATGCAGCCGCACCAGCTTTCCGAGCTGCGTCCCGCCGTGGCGACGACGGGGCCCCTCGCAGGCCAGCTGCCGCTGTCTGGGCTGGCCCTCCTCTTGAATCACATCGTCGCAGATCTGGGCCTCCACCACTTGGCGGTGAGCCCGGGGGTGAAGCGAGAGAGGGCGGGCCGTCTCAGAGGGCCACGGGGCTTCTCGGGAGCCCTCGCGCCTCCAGAGCTTTCCAGAAACTTCCCCGAAGACGACAAAAGCTCCCCAGAAGGCGGGAGGGCTTCTGAGAAGCCCCGCCGCCTTTTGAGAAGGCTGACTCCCTCTTCGGCGTCGCACTGGCCCGGGGCAATGTAAACCCAGGTCAGTCAGTCTTTGCAGGATCCTGCGCACTAGCCCGGGTCAATGCACCCCTGGCGCTGCAGGATCTTGCAAGATTTGGCGCTCTGGCTGAGCCCCGTTTGCATTGACCCCCGTTTGTTACAGCTTCACCTCTCACCAAGGCCTCGCTAAAAGCGGTGCTGGCTAACGGCGGTGAATATGCTTCTTGCGACGCCGAGCTCTCACAGAACAACCATCATAGGAAAGCGCGACTTCCCTACAGAGGGGCTGGCCACGAACCGCCGCCCACCACAACACCGAAACCCATACATTGCCGCTACCTGCATCGCCGTTACACGTCGGTCGGAAGAAGTGGGTAACAAACATGAACTAGGAAGGCGGATAAGGTAGCTTGGGTTCAGGCCCTCCCAGAGAAGAAAAAAAACAGGAAAGAAGCAAACTCGATTCTTGAAGTAGGGAGGCGCTTGAGGTTGATTTGGCTTTCGACATCCAGAAATATTTACTTTCAACCACCGGCATGTAGCGTGTCTACAGTGCGGGCGCGGCCGCAAGAAACCCTCGCAAGAAACCCAACCCTGGAAACCCGCGCGCGAGGTGCACCTGAGAGGAAACCCAGAGCACCCTGAACGCAGGCAGCTTCGACGGCCGCAGGAAGAGCCACCGCGCAGCGCGCGCAGCGAAAAAGCCCAAGGTACCCGGACGAAAAGCATGTGGCTTCTCGACGCACGCTACCGATTGTACGGCCACTTCCCCCCTGGGGCCCGCCGCCGAACCACGGCCAAGGCATATGTTGTTCCCATCGCACTTAAGGACCGCATCCCCGAAATAATTTCGAGCACCCGGAATACTGTCGAAACAGTGTCGGACGAGTTGTTCCCAGGCCCCGACACATGGAAACCTTCTCGAGTTTCGGTGCTTTCTTGGTGCTCGAAATTCTTTCTGGCGATCAGAGCCAAAGTCGGTTGGAACATCATGACTGTACGGCCGTTTCCCCCCTGGGGCCGGCCGCCGAACCACGGCCCAGGCCTCCCGCGCGGGCGGCGCCGAGGGCGGCGTCCGGAGGCCCCGCGGGGCGGCGGCGAGGGGGGCCGCGCGCCGCCCCCCCGCGGGGCCGCCGCCCCGTCTGCCGGCGCGGGGGGGGGGGGGCCTCCTCCTCCCCCTTCACTCCGCCACCTTTTCCTGCTCCTCCTCCTCCCCCTTCTCCTCCTCCTCCTCCTCCTCCCCCTCCTCTTCCCCCTCCTCCACCACCCTCTTCCCCCTCGTACCCCTCCTCCACCGCCCTCTCCCCCCTCTTCCCCTCCTCCACCACCTTTTCCTCCTCCTCCTCCTCCTCCTCCTCCTCCTCCTCCTCCTCCTCCTCCGCTCGGGCAGCATGACGGGGGTGGGGAAGTGGAGCAGAGCCGCAGAGATGTGGCGAGCGCACGCCCAGCGCAGGCCGCGCGCACGCCCAGCCGACGACGACGACGACGACGACGGCGACGACGGCGGCGGCGGCGGCGGTCGAGGCAGGGCCACGGTGAAGGGGGCCAGTGGCACGCAGAGGAACATGCACATATCCCAGGATTTCCCAAGTGTTGTCCAGCTCTTCTGGTTTTTCTCACTCCTGACACGAGAGTCTCCGAGGCCCTGGGCCACCAGAAGCATTTGGAGGCCCGACAAGGGCCAACAACCTCAGAGGACCTGCCCCTCGACCCTCGAGGGTCGCGAGCAACATTTGGCATGGAGGGGGAGGCGGAGGACGAGGAGGCTGAGGAGGAGGAGGCCGAGGAGGAGGGGGGGGAGGAGGAGGACGACGACGAGCATAATGCACCTAACTAGTTGCAAGAGCGCAGAACGCCCTGCCCTGCGCCGCAGAGCGGCCAATTCGCTCGAGCTCTAGCTTGGCCCCCTAAGGAGCAGCGCGCTGCGCGGGATGGAATGAAGCAGCAGTTCGACATGATGGTGGACGATGATGATGGTGGACATGATGATGGGCGTCCGCGACATTGTGGGAGGGGGCGCCGTCGACGACGAACCAGCATCATACATATAAACCTCCAGAGATCCGCGCTGCTTTCTTGTATATGCGCTGGCCCCCTCGGGCGACGCCTTTTGCGTCGCCCTTGCCGAGGAAGGACCAGCGTCAATCCAACACATCTGCGCGGATCTCTGAACGTTCATGTGTTGCAGTTTTTGTGTCACGGGGCTGCATGAGAGCAAACTGTCAGGAATTTTCGCTCAGCGTGTCTTGCTGCAGGTCCTGGTCCACCGCGCTCAAGCGACACGCTAAGCATGTCCCAGTCTCCAAGCGTTAAGTTGCAGAGCTTTTTCCAGCCTCCTGTCCCTCGAAGCGGAGCGAAAAGCTGGCAGCTTGCAAGGCATAGCGTGTCGCAGCGGCCGCCCCCGTGACACGCTAAGCAGAAATTCCAGACCGCATAAGCATGCCAGCTTTGCAAGCACCCAGCTCTGCGAACACGGCGATGCCCTCCTCAAGAGGGAAAGGCAATGGCAGTTCATAAGAGTTCGGTCGTTTCACTCGTTGCTGTCATTGCCCTCCCTCTATCACTGTCCCATTTCTTTCTCATTCTCCATTCCACGCTTAAGGGTGCAGTAGTCTGAGAGGCGAGGGGATAGATAGCAGACATGGGCACGGTAGCAGGCGCCGACGCCGTTTTGCACGTTGCAGCGTGGGTAATATCTGTGTCCGATACCATGGGCAATCTTAGGAGAGGGGTGAAACCAGAAACGGTCGGGGGGGGCAGCACGAGATGGTGGGAGGGGAGCGGACGGGAGAGGGGAGGTAACATGCGGACGAGGGGCGAGAGAGAGAGAGAGAAACAGAAGGAGAGAGCGAGAGAAGGAGAGTGACGGGGTCTGTGGGGAGGGGGAAGGGTGGAGCGACAGGGGGAGGGGAAATGGGGAGGGGGTGGTGGGAGTGGAATCAAGAAAGACAGACTAATGCGACATCTATCGTCTCGTACATCTATACATACATGTATACATGTATACTTATGGTCAACTCACATACATACGCACATACAGTTATAACGAGATAATGATAGAAACAGAGAGAGAGAGTGAGAGAAACACAGAGAGAGAGAGAGAGACAGAGCGAGAGAGAGAGAGAGAGAAAAGTTACCGCACACCGGCCATGCCCAGATCGATTTTGCCAATCGTGGTTGGGTTGGCAGGCACGAGCCGACATAGATCTGGCAGGCAGCACCGAGCTCCCAGGCTGCCTGGAAGCTGTATGCACACGACGCAGCCGGCCTGGACGAAAGTTGGATGCACGTGTGGTCATTCGGCCACATGTGTTTCCAGCGCTCAGCCCTCGTGCGGTCTGGCACGCCAGCCCTCACGTGCACCCATCAAGTGGCCTCCGCATTCTCTGCGCGTGAATTCATCCACGTGTGTTCCGCTTGGGGCTGGTCCTTGAACCATTTCGGGATGCCGAGTTGGCACAGGCTCCAACCCTGCAGCCCACGCTACAAAAGTTGCTGCCCCTGCAAGTGTCTCCTTAAGGTTGTCCCATCTGCAGGCCTGTAGATATGTGTTTTGGCTCGAAGCTGCACTTCTGACATTCTTTGCGCTTCATTGTTTGTCATGGCGCACTCGGCAGCAAGGCCGACCCGGGCCCAGGAGTGGATCAGAGCCTTCGCCAGCCCGGCTGGCGGCAAGCAGGGCCGTTTCCATGCATGCCCGACGTCTCCCCGCTCGTCGCGCGCGGGAATCCTAGATCTCGGACGCTATTGTTTCGATCTGGGCTGTTTTCCTCGATTTCGGCCCGCAGGGCACACTCTCGGGCCCCGTGACCATCAAACATAGAGCTAGAACGAAGAACTACCCCTGGGGAAGGTGTCGGGACCTCTGGGGCCGCGCATTGAATAGTATGTTGGTATGTTTGGGGTTTGGGATGGTTTTCATCATCGTCGGCAGGCTGGCTCTCCCAGAGGACGCCGACATGGGGATGGACGCCGCGGAGCCCAAAGGAGACGGCATCAATCCCCCCAAAGAGGAGGCAGACCGGCTGGCGGGGCAGAGGTATCCCTGGTGGGGGTGGGGACAGTTTGTCCCGATATCATACGACGTGTTTTTTTTTCAATGCGCTACCCCAAAGGTCCCGACCGTTCTGCGCCCAGATCTATTTTTGATGGTCTCAGGGCCCAGTAACGGGCCTTGGAGGCCTAAATCGAGGAAACCAGCCTGGATTGAAGAACAATATCGTTAGAAGTTTGGTTTTTTTCTGATCCAGAATCATGTCCATATCCATGGCCTCGCTGTCTGAACTCCTTCTCGGCCGCGACCCCATGGATGCAGGGCATCCCTGAGCGGACGGCTCCCGCGCGGAGCGCGCCCATGGGATCACGTCTCCGCGAGATCGCGCCTCGTTGTCCAGACCGCGAGGGCATGGATCTGCATATGGTCCATGAAATCCGCTCGGAATCCGGCCCCTGGGCCCCTCCAGGGGTCCATCTCGGGCCAGCGTTTCATCTCGCATCGACTTTCGATGGCCCAGGGGCCCGAAGCTGGCCCCAGGCTCCGGAAGCGACAAAGAGATTCGATCTTCGATCTGTTGCCCCTCGATGTGCCCGTCGCTCGTGATGCTCGTCGTCCACCCTCTCGGGGGCTCCTGGCTGCAGCAGCGCCGTCCTGGCGGCTCGTCGGCGCAGGAGGGGTCAAGAGTATCAGCGGCACGCGCGTCGTGTTTCAATGTGTGTGTTACGCGCGGGCTTTTGTGAAGGAAGCTCTTCCTTCTCCTTCCTGTTGCTTCTGATGTGTCAGCTGGTCTTTGGACGCGCGCCAGCCCCGTGGCCAGATCACTTCAGGCGTATGACTTGTACACGGCTGCGTCTGTGGCGGTTTTGAAGTGTGATTCTGACAACTCTTGATACGCTGATGCGGTCGTCCAGCCGGCGTGACATTGATGCTGCATTTGCTCTGAGATCAGTTCTGGAGGGCCACTCACCTCGTGTCTCCTGGATAGGCGGGGCGAGGCGGCGCTTCGCCAGCGGTTGCTGGAGTTGCGTTCGCAGTGCGCCGCCGACGCGGGCACGTTCATGGAGGCGCTGGACGAGAAGATCGAGGCAGGTGCGGCACCAATGCAGTCACAAGGTGTCGTTTGGGGATAGTTTTTTCTTTCTCCTCCTCCTCCTGCTCATTTTCCTCTCCCTCCGCCGCCCCTTCGCCCGCTTTCTTCTTCCCCCTCCCCTTCTTCGTCCCTTTCGCTCCCCCAGACGTGTCGGTAGGGCGTTTCGTTTGAGAGTTGTTCGCAGTTTGTGATCCTGAAGCGTGGACGTTGCAACAGCTTCAAGGATGGAGGGTGGGTCGTTTTTTTAATGAGGCTCTCGCCTTCGCGCCGTGCACATTCGTCTTCAAAGTTTGCAGCCGGTTCAAGGACGAAGTGCGCACAGTTTAAAAAATGCGGCCCTCGCCATAGCACATCAATCGTTTCAACAGTTGGCAACAGTTTCAACGATGGATGGCGGGTGGTTTTCAGCACGTGGCTCTCTCCATGACAGACCGCACGTTCTTTTGAGCACGTGGCTCTCTCCATGACAGACCGCACATTCTTTTGAACAGATGGAGCGCGGTTCCTTTTCAACATGTGGTTCTTGGTTTAGCGCCGCGTGCATTCGTTTTAACAGTTTGTTGGAGTCTGTAGGGTTCGTATCGGTGTTCTAGCGCGTTTTAAGGTTGCTAGGACGCGGCAGTTACACTGTTTCGCGGCGTTGACGTCCCAGGCGTTCTGTTTTGGTGCGATTGAGGATTCTCTGGCGGTTGTCTTCCAAATGGGGAGCTTCCTGTAATCAGCAACAATTTTGCAGTGACCTACGGAAAGTGAGTTTGGAGGGTTAGACGGATGCTTGAATGCAACATTTTTGATGCGTTGTTTGATTTACACGGGTCTTCCTCCTCCTCCTTTTTCTGTCTTGATCTCGATCCTTCGCCTTCTCCTCCTCCCCCTCTTGCTCCTCCTCCCCAAGGGACCAGGAGGCTGCCCGACTGCACTGGAGGCAGTGGAGCAGCGGCGCGCAGGGGGGATTGGCGTGAGGGGGGCGAGCTGCCGAGAAGGCGGGGGGGGGCACTCAGAAGATGCCCAGAGGCTTGGAGCCAGCTGGCCCTCAGAACGCGCTCAGTAGGCCCCCACGAGGCCCCAAAGAGGCCCCCAAGAAGCGCTCATCAGGTCCCCTAGAGGCTCTTAAGGAGGAACCTCCACAACACACATACAAACTGAGAAGGAAGGCAGGGACGGGTTCGCGGGGAGGACCAGAAAGAGAAGACCAACACGAGTTGTCAGAAACGGGAGAAGGAATAACCAGTGGATGACGACAAGAAGTACAGTGGAAACCTTGAAGTTGCCATACGTCCTTTTGTATATGTTGTGTTGCTATGAATTGTTGTGCCCCTCTCACACTCCCTCTTTCTCGGTCATTCTCTTTCGCATTCCGCACGCATGCACAACTGGACGGGCCAAGGTGCATGGCGCGCAGTGCCCTTGCAGTCTTGGCCCTATACATACAACTATGTATATATATATATATATACACAGGTGTATATATATATGTGTGTGTACTGACACACGTGTATATGTGCAGATATGCAGACACACGTGTACGCGCACATATTAATCGATGTATGTGTTTACAGGTATTTGAGAGCACACACTGATGCACATATACATACATAAACACATACCTGCATGCACGCATGCATGCAAACATACATATATACATACACACATGCATGCCTACTCCGATATATACATATATACACCTATATATATATATATATATATATATATATATATATATATATATCGGAGTAGGCAAAGGGGGGTGGCCAGGGCCGGTGCCGGGGATTGGGGGGGTCCCAGGGCTCCCGGGACTGCCCAGGCCCGCTCCCAAACACGCCACGACACGCCAAGCGGGCCCTAAAGATTGCCAAGACAGCCCCAAGAGGCCCCAGATACGCCGAAGATGGTTTCGGTTCCGTCGCAGAGCAATGTCGTTTCCGTGTCGTCGTAGAGGGCGCTGCAGTCGGTGTGCCCGCGTTATGGCGAGAGTTACATGTTGAAAGCGACCCGGCCTCCATCCTTGTGGGGATGTGGCAAGTTCTCAGACGAATGCGCGCCGCTGAGGCGAGAGCCCAGAGAGTACCAGAAGCACCCCACAGGAGCAAAAACGCCTCCAAGATAACCTAAGATGGCGGGCTGGCCTCCAAGACGGCTCCAAGACACCACGACTGCCCCACCCCTTGCCACCACCAGACCCGCCAAAATAGCTCCGAGGGGCGCCCAGGGACGCCAAGACGGCTCCAAGAGAGCATCCCAAAGAACCAAAGAGGCCCCTAAGAAAGCGAAGATTGCGTCGAGAGGGCCCCAAAGAGAGCCCCAAGATGAGCCCGGGAGGGGGGAGGAGGTGACGACGATGACGATGACACCAACCGAAGGACAAGTTACCGATCTCAAGATGACAAAGACAACGTCGACGACGACGGCGACGAGAGATTGTCATAGAGACGCCTGGGATGCTCAATGCAGGCCTTCGACTCTGCTTTGCTTTGAATGTTCCATGGTGGGTTCTTACTTGTTGGCGAAGAGCTTGCATTCCTCGTGTTTTTCCCGTGCCCCGTTGCCCGGCATTCCTCGGGGTTGTTTTGGTTGCCCGGGTCTTGGTTTCCTTGCCCGGTTCCCTTGTTTCTTGGTTTCCGAGCGATGCCCAGCATTTATCATTTCTCCCGGTCTTGGTTTATGTTAGGTTCTCCTCGATTGATCATCGTGTTGTGATTCCCCAGCAGTGTCCAGCCTTCCTCGAATCCCAGGTTTTGGTTTCTTTTAAACCTTCCTCGATTCCCCAGTCTTGGTTTCCAATGCCCATCGTTCCTTATTTCCCCAGTCTTGGTTTCTTCACTGACGGCCTTCTTCGGTTCCATAGTCTTGGTTCACTAGCATTGCCCAGCCTTCATCGTTGCCCTGGTCTTGGTTTCCTCCAGGCTTGTCTCGGTTCTCCGGATATGGTTTCCCAGAAGTGCCCCGCTTTCTCGGTTTCTTGGTCTTGGTGTCTTTTAGGCCCTCAGTTCCCCAGTCTTGGTTCTCCAGCTTAAGACTAGCCTTCTTCGGTTCCCCGTTTTGGTTTCCTCTAGGCCTCTCTCGGTTTCCCGTTCATGGTTTCCAAACAATGCCCTGCCTTCCTCGAATCCCAGGTCTTGGTTTCCTCTGGGCCTGTCTCGGTTCCCCAGTCTTGGTTTCCAATGCCCATCGTTCCTCCTTTCCTCACTCCTTGTTTCTTCCAGGCCTGTTTCGGTTATCCAGTCTTGGTTTCCCTGCAACGCCAAGCTTTCCTCGGTTCTTCAGTCTCGGATTCCCAGCTGTTTCATTCAATGCAGAACAATCACACGCATGCTTCGGTACGCACTCGAGAAGCATTCCCCTTATTGTGGTCGTGTTGGGTTTATTGATTTCCATTCCGATGTTGAAAGGTTTGTGGATTATTGTCTGTTCGCTGCTGGCCTAAGATCCTCCCAACCTTCCCCCGAGACATCCCAAATGAGGCCCCAAGATGACCCCAAGAAGCGCCCAACAGCCCGAGAGGGTCCCAAGGCGGAGGCCAAGTAACAGTTGTGGCTCCATGCTTTGTTCTGCATGCTTCTGTTTGCATTGGTGGTGCGCTGGCTCAGCCGAGTCCCCTCCGCTTCTGCTCCTGTCCCGCCATACTTCATGCTTGCCTGCTGCTTCGCTCTTCCCCGTCTTCATTCTCTGCGTGTGCTGCTTGTTCTAACGACTATCTTTCCGTCTTGGGTACATGTTTTTGAATCGACCATTTGCAATGCTTGTTGGACTCTCGCTCCTCACGTGTTTCTTACGTTGCTCTGCCATCTTGATCCCGCGGGCCTTGTCCGATAGCAATGACGCCGCCGCCGCAGACACGTTACCAGACATCCGACCATGCGTGCTTTCATTCAATGCGCGGCTCGACAGGTCCCGACCCCTTCCCCAGGGGTATGTTTTATCCCTGGGCCAACGTTTGATGGTCCCAGGGCCCGACACAGATCACTGGAGGCCAATCGAGGAATAAGGTTCGGAGTCCACAGATCGTATCCTCGGACATCGACGTTTGCAGCAGCCAGAAGTGAACCTGAGCAGCACGTCAGCCTCAAACTAACAGCAGACGGGGCCGCGACGTGCCCGCGGCGCGGGGCGCCCCAGGTCGCGCGCGCTCCTGGAGCCCTCTCCTCCGGCCGGCTTCTCCCCCACTCTCCCTCGACACATAAAGGGCGTCACGTGAATGTGCCGCTACGTCGGTGTGACTTTGGGTGCTGGGCCCAAAGCGGGGCGTTTCTGGACGTGCTTCTTGGGGGGGGGCGCCCCCTCACCCCCACAATAGCATCGCACCAGATGTCACCCTTGGCAGAGGTCCCCGTGATTCGCTCCAGGAAAGGCCCCGCCTTCGGCGCATCCTCGCCTCCGGGAGAAGGCCAGCGGAAGATGGTAAAAGCAAGGCGGCCGCGGGCCCGCTCGGTGCGATCGACATGGGTGCAGAAAAAATAGTACGAAGAACGGCAACAGTTCGTGTTTATTTTGAACCAGATTCGTTGTCCGTATCGGCGCGAAGGTTGTCCGTTTAGGACAGGAAGTCGACCGCCCAACAGCGGCCGCTGTGCATTCTGGAGAACCTTTGCTGCTAGGCATCGTACACACTTCGGGCGTGCCAATCCGCCGGCCGAAGCTCTGGAGGCCGTGGGGGCTTTCCTTGGGAATCCTGGGGGTGCTTTTCTGGGCCAGAGGCGCCTCTTCGCGGACGGCTAGAGCACACCGTGCCGCGTTGGCGTCTCCCCAGGCGTCGTCGATTCTCGGCTCAGGGTATGGTACGGTGCACAGGTCTTGGGCCCTCGGAGCCGAAAGATGATGCACCGTACCGCGTTGGAGCGGGACCGTACCGCGTTGGAGCGGGGCTTGAAGGGAATCCAAACACGTGGCGGTGCCCCCAGACATCCGACGGTGTGATTGTTCCAATGTGCGGACCCAGAGGGTCCGGCACCTTCCCAAGAAGGTATGTTTTTGGTCCCAGACTTTTCAGTTTCTATATTCTAGACGCTTCGCGTAACCCCCCTGGCTCAAGCCCTTGGCTCAAGCGGCTAGGCCGCTCTGGCTCAAGCGGGCCTCAGCGGCTGGCCGGCCGTGGCCGGGGGCCCGCCCCTCGGTCCTCGGCCTCCCCGCCCGCGGGGGCGCGCGAGGGGCTCGCCCCCCTCGGCGCCCCCGCTCGCTCTGCCATGGCGTCGCGCTCGGCGCGGCGGCGGCGGCAACGGCACGCCGCCGCCTGCCGCGCCGCCGCCGCGGCCGGCCCGGCCGGCCTGCCGCCGCCTGGCTGCCTCGGCGCGGCTGGCGGCGCCGCCGCCGCGGCCGCCGCCGCCGCGGCGGCCGCCACGGCTGTAGCGGCGGCCGGCCGCGGCGAGACCGCCGCGGCCGCCGCCATGCCGCACCGCCGCCGCGGCCGGCCCGGCCGGCCTGCTGCCGCCGCGCCCCCCCGGCATGGCCCCCGGCCTCTGCGTGGCCGGCGGCGCCGCCGCCGCGGCCGCCGCTGTTGCTGCGGCCGCCGCGGCTGTTGCGGCGGCCGGCCGCGGCGAAGCCGCCGCGGCCGCCGGCGCTGTGGCGCGCGCCGCCGCTCTGGGGCCGGCCGTGCCGCCGCGGGTGCGGCGGCCGCCGCCATGATGCTCTTCCAGGACGGCCTCACGGGCAGCGACTGGGGCGTCTGGGCGCCGTACACGGACTCCCCGCTGCGCGCCTTCGAGAGCGAGCTGGGCGTGCAGTCGCTGGTGGGCTTCTGTACGACCCGTCGATGGCTCCCGGCGACTACGAGAACGGCGGCGTCCTGGGCGTGCCCAACGGCAGCACCTTGCCGGCCAGCGAGACCAAGTCCCGCGAGCTGAACGCCGAGACCGCGAACGGAAGGCTGGCGATGATGGCGATCATCGGGACGTTCTACCAGGACGGCCTATCGGGCAGCGCGTGGGGCGACTGGGCGCTGTACACGGACTTCCCGCTGCGCGCCTTCGAGAGCGAGCTGGGCGTGCAGGCGCCAGTGGGCTTCTGTACGACCCGTCGAGGGCTCCTGGCGACTACGAGAACGGCGGCGTCCTGGGCGTGTTGCAACGGCAGCACCTTGCCGGCCGGCGAGACCAAGTCCCGCGAGCTGAACGCCGAGACCGCGAACGGAAGGCTGGCGATGATGGCGATCATCGGGATGGTGTACCAGGACGGCCTATCGGGCAGCGCGTGGGGCGACTAGGCGTTGTACACGGACTTCCCGCTGCGCGCCTTCACGAAGGACGGTGATGCCACGGCCTTCAAGAGGCGCCGCGAGACAGAGATCAAGCATGGGCGCGTGAGCATGCTCGCCACGACGGGCTACATCACGAGGCCTATCGGTCTCTACAGCACCGACGCCACGGTCAGGCAGCGCAGGTTGAATGCCGAGATCGCGAACGGCCGCCAGGCCACGATGGCAAACCTCAGCGCCATCTCCGAAGTCCCCGCGGCAGGCTTGGGGCACATTGTGGCCTACTGTACGCTTTGCGAGCTGTTCCAGGACCAGTCTGCTGGCACCGACGTCTCGGCGGGCGTCTACAACTGGAAGGTGCTGGCGGCCAGCGTCGCCGCGGCGAGGCCGTCGAAGCAGGCGGCTAAGATTGCCAACTTTCGTCTGGCCATCACGGCGGTCATCGGCATGCTCTTCCAGGATTTGGAGGGCGCCCCTCCTCCTCCCTTTACCTCCCCCGTCACGGGGCCAGGAACTCAAAATTTCGAGGCGGCTCCAGCCGTGGTGACCACGACGACTGACGACCATCCGGAGGATTCTGCCACGGCTGAAATGGGGCCCGTTAGGCCAGAAGGGAGCGCGGTTTCGATATTGCCGAATCCCCGAAGTGAAATGGAGCCCGTTAGGCCAGATGCAAATCGTGGCGTTTCGAGTCCCAGCCCCGTCCCCGACGACCGCCCTGAGCGCGGACCACCTCAACGCCCCGCGACGACGACAGATGACCATCCGGAGGATCCTGCCGCGCACAACGACATATCGGAGCATAGCAGCAGCAGCGCAACGTGCCAGCCCCCGTTTCGTCGACAGACGATGACGTCCCAGAGGGGAGTCGAGAGTCGGCTGAGGCAGAGGTCACGATACCACCCCCCTCATCGTGGTCAGACGATGACGCCCCAGTGGGGCATCGAGAGGAGGTAGCCTGCAGTGACCAGTGTACAGCTCACACTAACGACCCCCCCCTTCAGCTGCACCAGCAGGCCAGAGGAAAGGAGCGGGAAGTCACGGCGGAGACGGCGGAGGCCGCGGAAGCTGCGGAGTACCCCCTCAGGACAATCAGTCCGTCAGCAGTCCTCTGGGAGAGCCACGCACCCTGCAGGGGCACCGCGGAGCAACCGCCCAGACGCAGGACAGCGAAGCCATCCGCTGGCTCGTCGGGAGAAACCTCTTCGCGCCTATTCGCCCCCCCTCCCCCGTCAGTGAGCTTCTTGTGGGCGGCGAACCCCAGGCGCCCCCGCCAGGCGTCCAGGGCACCACTGGCGAAGCAGCTTGCGCCCCGGCCATGGAAGCTGCGCCGCCGTGTGTGCTCGCGCCCGGCACAACCAGTGGTGTCCCAGAGGCCAGAGAGAGTCCTGTGCTGCCCAAAGGGGACGCACCTGGGAGTGACGGCGGGCACAGGCCCGAAGGCGGACGCCAGCGAAAAGCCCCCCCCCCCCCCCCACGCGCCACAAGGCCACGTCTGCCCTGGCCGCCCGACGCGACCCGACCCCAGCCTGGCGGCCAACCATGCGGCCTGCACTCCCCCGCGAAGCCCTGCCAGGCGTGCAGCTGGAGCTGTCGCGAGCAGATTGCGAGCCCCCCAGCCAGGACAACGAGGCCCGCACGGTGGAGACTTGCGCCCAGGATACTCGGCGGCACCAGAGGCCCGACCCGCGTCAATGGCCAGAGCCTAAGGACCCCGACGCGGGACAACAGCTGCACAAAACAGGAATCAACAACATCCAGTGGGACCTCCCCGGGGAGACACCCGGCGAGGCGATGCGTCGACTCCAAGTCACACTGGGACCGATGTTCACGGGCACCTGGCACGCTTTCGCCAAGCAGCAGCTTGTGCCCGGCAGCAAGGGCGCGCTCGACCCGCTTCGGCACGGCCCGCAAACCTGCCACCTCTTCCTGGAGTCCTTCCGCAGCCACAAGTGCGACGCACGGGTCCGCAGCGACGCGCTGGACCTCGACGTCGACTGGACTCGGCCGTGGCAGCTGCACCGGGGTCGGAGCGGCAGAGTGAACAGTGATCACCACGCGGCAAAGGGCCACCCGAACCACCAGGCCCCCAAGGAGCGCAAAAAACGATGGTGGGCCGTACCCCCACAGTAGCCTCGGCTTCTGTTTCGTTCAGAACTTCTACCTCTTCACTTTGGCTGTTGTCTACGTGCTGCGTGTGTGGCTATACCGTCGACCACAGTATTTCCCCTCTGTCTGCGTGCTGCGGGTGTGGCTATGCCGTGGGCAGTCTGGAATTCCACCCTGAGACCTTCTCTGTTGACTACGCGTCGTGCACCGTACTCATCAGCGCGATTGGGGGTCTCATTCCTTCTCCCTCTTGGTTCTGACATGCCGTTGTCGGACGTGCCGTGCAGCTCCATGAAACGACCATGCAGTTCCAACGCGACGACGTGCACAGTGTGGACTCTGCGACTGCAGTTCGAAGCTTGGCGTGACCCGCGGATTCTCCTGTTGCTTGCATCCTGGCGCCGGGCTCCCTGGGGGGCCGTTGCCGGTCCCGGGTCCGCCTTCTGTGGCTCTGGTACTCTTGCGCCCCGTTTCCGTCGGTCTGCGGGTGCGCCCGCAGAGTTCGGCGGCCACTGGCTGCGCCCCCTCTTCCTTATTATTCACAATGTCTCTGCGGCTCTTGGCTGCGCCCCCCAACGGACTCATTCGCAATGGCTCTGCGGCTCTTGGCTGCGCCCCCCATCCTGTTCGCAAAGATTGCACCAATCACTGCGTGCCAGGCAACTGGAAGACGGCAGTGAACGAGGCGTCCGGAGAAAGACGATCTGAGTCCATAGAAGTGGGCTGCGCTGGCCTCCCACCTGGAGGACAGGCGAGCAGGCCCCCCCCCGCGGCGACTGAGGCGCCACCTCAGGGACTGCTGTGGGAAAAAACAGAGAGAGAGAGAGAG